CCCCTGTGGTCGTCGAAACTCCTTGAGCAGTCAATGGCATCAGTGAAATTGCACCATCTCATCGTAAGTTTTTCCATTTTGAGTTTGCTGTTGCTTTCGCCTTTCTTCTAACGATCGTGTTCTTATGGGATTGATCGTTAGGTTTCTCTGTTGCTTGATTCCCAGGTTTTTCAATGCATCTAGTACAAATCGTCGGTGATTCATTCGAAAGCTTTTCCGAAGTCAGTGAATCAGAGGCAGCGCGAAACTTTCATTCAGTGCATATCTTCCTTTTCCTAGCATGTTCTCTTTAACGGGGAGTCTGCTAATTGAGTCAACCTCCTCCTCATTTTTCTGTCGTTCGTTATATCTTCTGAGACTCCTCCCAGTTTCATATCGTTCTTGACGATATCGCGCCACGTTTTCTTCGGTCGTTCCATTCTTTTCTTCCCTGACAGTATCAGTGCTTAGACCACATTGCCAACGTATTCGATGGCTCTTCGTTTCACGTGACCGAACCAACGGAGCCTGCTTTCGACAGGCTGTTATGAAGGTGATGCAACCCCTAGGGCGCCTCTTATGGAGTTGTTTCGGATGTGGTCTTTTCTGCTGACACCACACATCCATCCGAGCATTCGCGTTTCTACCGAGTTCAACTGTTGCTCGTGTCTCTTCAGGGTAGCCAAACATTTCCCATATCTGGGTTACTTAAAGTACTGTGTTAAGATGATTCGTCATACTAAAAACACCTTTCATTCCTGATGATTGGTTTAGTTTTGCAGTCTGAATTTTGCGTAAGTCTGTTCGTTAGTATGTTCAGGAAGATCTTCTAGATGATTGATGGCATAATCATCGTGGTTGTCATTGTCCCCGTCATAATCATTCTAATATATGCATAGCCGATAGTTGAGTGTTACACCATTAATTAAGTGTATTCTTTGGATGCGGCCTGGGCGAAACCTTGAGGCCGTTGAAACTAAAATGGTCCTGCATATTCGTAATGGCGCAAAGGGTATCGCTCATAATCTTCGCGACCTAATAGGTCGCATAATTGAGGCATCGAATTGGCGAGTTAGCTGAGGAATCATTCGTCAATCAGTTTCGATGGCTGTAGGTGAATCATTTTATAGATATTAGAATGAAGGAGTAGGAAAAATGGAAGTTGCTTAATCTGCTAATGTATTTCGATGACTTGAGCCATTCGTACGCGATGACACTGTTCGATATGCATGTCTGTTTTTATTTTATAAGGATGTTTTTGTTGAGGTGCTTGCCCAATCAGCTGCGATGCCCAATGAAAAAATTTCTTATGCCTGTTAATTAATTAAACTGTCAGTTCTGTTGAATTTAGAAAGTTCAGTAATCGTAATGCGTGAAAGTTTATAAATTTGGTAATAGAAATATATATTTCTGGCCCGTTGACCTGGAGCCCCCTTTATTGTCGTTCAGCTCCGGCTGTAATACATGATACAGCCTGGATTGATTCGGGGTTTCTCAGTCGGTAGATTATTGAATTCATAACCAAGAGGTTCCAGGTTCGAGGCCCGGTAGGGTCACTCGCCTGTCGTCCGTTCGTGCCTGATAAATGAGTGCCACCCTGTGAGAGGGAAATAGAGGACTATACAATATGCTTCTCAAATAGCCGCTGTGAACTCTATCCTAAAAATTAGGCTAAGTACTCCAGACTGATGCCATGGAACTGGAGATCGACAGGGCATCATTAAGTTCATGAAAGAGTAAAAAAGACCGACGTTCCAACGGTTACAAACTTGCCTATTTCATTTGTCACCATACAAGGTATAACATGGTTTGAAAACTGTTTTGTTTTGCTGGAAATTGCCGGTGCAGTGCTGATGATGATTACGTGAAATCCATTTAGGAAGATATTACGTTGACACCGTACGAAAAGAACGGGGAACTGTGGCGTGAGCTATGGCGAGTGTTGGAGAAGAGTGATGTGGTGGTGGAAATTGTGGACGCACGGAACCCGCTGTTATTCCGGTGTG